AACCAAGGTTGGGCATCTCAGAGAGACAGCCGGCTTTTAGTCTAATACCCTATTAGATAGCTTGGTCTTGTATTAAGTGTTATACATTTAATAAAATTTTAGTATGCGGTTATCAAAGGAAAAAAATAAAAATAAAAAAATAACCTATATTATATTATATAAAAAAAAAACTATTAAAAATACATTCTAACTCTAAAAACTATACTGGTGAAGATCACCAGTAGTAAAATGAAATATTCTCTTTATATATATATATATAATTTATAATAGTTTTTAGAGTGTTGCTAATTTTTACCCAGAGTGATATCACCTAGGTGAAATTACCTATTACTAGATAATTTCACCTACCCAAATTTTATAAATATATACTATAAAAAACAATACATATATTAGTAATTATTATGCTAAATTTTTTAAAGTTAAATAAATTGTATAAATTAAGTAGCATATCTAAAAAACCCCATAATTTTTACTGAGAATAAACTAGCATAATTTGGTGAGTTAGAATTAGGTTAAGGTTAAGTTAAGGTTAGGATGATAGTGTTTCTATTAGTAAAATTTCATGAAGAATGTTTTAATTAGACTGCTTCAATTGTTTACATTACACCTGATCTTTCAAAAATCATGGAAGAGAACAATTTTTGTGAGTTCGAATAGTACTTTAATAAAACCCTTATACCTTGAAAAATACCCAGATCTATACCTCATCTATTTTCTTACTTAAATACTCTGGGTATAGTACCCAAGTATCAACTGACATCTATCAACTCATACAAAAAGATTCCAAAAATTACAGGTCAAAATGTATCAAAATCCTAATCAGCTAGACAGGAATTGATTAATTTTACCCAAGATTACTAAAAATTTCACAAAGTAAAAAGTGTCTAGCTGAAAATTTTTACTATAGACTTTGCTAATTCTAACTCTAGCTTTGATGCATCTGACCCAGAATTTTAGGGACACTTCTGAAAAAATTAATGTCTATTAGTTGCTACCTTATTACTCTTCCTGGATTTAATAACTTTACCAGCATTCTAATTCTAACCGATACTAACTCTAAATTGGGGCAGAAAATAAAATACATCTACCTTTTCAAGCCCTAGCTTAATCTGACCTAATATAAATAAGTTATTAGCTTATTTAGCTGTTTCATTAGTAGTTGCTGTTTCATTAGTACAATTTTGAACATCAATAGAATTAAAATAGAAGGAGATTCACAGATAACTTAGCTGTTTCTTGTATGTTTCATACTTAAGTTATTTACAATCCCAGCCATTCAGATTGATTCCAACCCAAATGTTAATATTTTTGACAATGTGGGAATAAGAATTATTTCTATATTTGGGAATGCACTAAAGCAAAAGTTAATTATGAAATTAAACAAATATTGTAATGTTGTATTCGCATACATAGTGATATCATATACATAGTGATATTATATACATAGTGATTATTATATGTGTAGTAGATAAAAAGCAAAACATTAATAAAAATGCAAATGTGTGCAGAAACTTAAAATAATAAAAAATGTAAAGAAACTGTTTGTGCATCATATTCGCAATAGATACAGAAATATCAATAGATCACTTGTTATTTGGTAAAGCGTATAAAAAACTGTTAGCTCTCTAAATAAATTGTTATTAGTCTTCTGCACATAATTACAACTCACGCTTTTAGAAAAACTTTTTGTTAAAATTACTCGAACCAAGTTATACTATAATATTTGCTATTGTTCAGTGTTAAAGTCACCTATCTTTATCAAATTACTCATCATTCTTTTTAGAATAGAGGATGGTTATCAGGACAATTATAAATATGATAGAGAATATTTTGACTATTCAGAAACGGATAATGAAGGTTTATATGCAGATATCGAAGTATACAATGAGGCTTTGGCTGAAGGCATAGAAACTGTTGATGAAGCTCAGTTAAAAGATACGAATGAAGAAATATATAATAGCAATAGTAAATATAAGGAACAGGAAAGATATTAGTATTAAATATGGGTAACCAACGTGAGTTTTGACTAAGTTGAGGCACTCATAGGGTTTTGCAATAGAATTTCCAACGTGATGCATTTTAACTCTAATTTATTTTTTTTATTTCGGTCTTTACTTACACATTTCTTTTTTTTTTAACAAACCCTTTTTTCTTGGCCACTCTTTTTTCTTGACCACTCTTTTTTTTTGGCTATCCTTTTTTCTTGGCCACCCTTCTACTCTTTTTCTTCTTGTTCTGCACATTTTTTCAGCCTACTCTTTTTCTCACTTTACTCATTGCCTATTTTCTTCATCCACTCTGTCAATATATTTTTTTAATTTTTTTTTTTTATATTTTTTAATTTTTTTTATTTTATTTTTTTTAATTCTTTTTTTTAAGTTTTTTTTTTAATTCTTTTTTTAATTTTTGAAAAGGTATGCTCTTTTTCCTATTTTATTTCATTTTTTTTTAATTGTAATTTCAGCTCATTTAAAATTGAGTCTTGTAAGAATCAATTGGAAAGTTGCCCTAGATTTCATATGGATCTGCAATTATGTCTAAACAAAATTAGAAATTGTAGCAGATTAGTTCCAATTGAGGTGAAATATAATATTACTAAAAATAGAATTATATAATCCAAGAGATGTTGAGATAAAATTGCTTTAATATTATTATGCATTTATTTGACTACAATAAAGCCAGATTCATTTTGAGGTTTAATTAACATATAAAATCTTAGCCGAAGAGACCTATCTAGTAGTATTAATCGTTACTTTTTTACTTTATTTCTTTTTCTGTATAAATGTTATTATCATTGTTATATATATATATATGTGATAGTCACAGGTCGACTTAAGGCAAATTAGGTTCAAATTAGTAGTATGCAATCTGATATTAACCTGATATGAAACAAATTCAATACAAAATAGAAGACCTTTAGAATATAATTTGAGTTCATATAAATATTCAAAACATATTGGTAAATCAATAGCTTAATGGAATAATCAGTAAAGTTATAGGATATAGTTTTTATATCTCTATTAATATGAATTTTTATTGGACTATCAGTTTACCAATATGTCTTGAACACCTAATATAAACCCAAATTGTATTTTAAGATCTTCTATTTGGCCAAGTTTTGTTTCAAATCAGGTTTATATTGGGATTACATAATGCCGGTTTGAATCTAGTTTGCCTTAAGTTGAACTATGTATATTTCTTTAAGTTATCCCTTAAATTGTAACACAGGCAAATTTGTCTGCGAAGATTTTTACTAATTTTTTTAATATTTAAATTTTTTAA